GGAAGTGCCAAAATAATTTTGAAGAAAAAGAACAAAGCAGGAGCCTTAACCCACCCAGACTTCAGATAATACTACAAAGCTACAGTAATCAAAAAAGCTTGGTATTGGCACAAAAACAGACATACAGATCAATGGAATAGAACAGAGAGCCCAGAAGTAAATCCACACACCTACAGTCTACAAAAAAATACAATGAGAAGAAAAGAGCTTCTTCATCAAGTGGTTTTGGGAAATCTGGAGAGTTGCATATAAATCAATCAAATTAAAACAAACCCTCTCACTGAACACAAAGTCAGTCTCAAAATGCCTTAAAAACTTAACATGTGACACCATGAAACTCTTGGAGGAGAACACTGACAAAACAGTCTCTGACATCAATCATACCAGTGTTTTCAGGTCAGTCTCCAAAGACAGCAGAAATAAAAACAAAAATAAACAAATGGGACCCATTCAAACTTGTGCACTGTTAGTGGAAATGTAAGGGAGGTTTAAGAGGGAGGGGACATGTGTATACTTATGGCTGATTCGTGTTGATGTGTGGCAGAAACCAACACAATATTGTAAAGTAATTATCCTACAATTTAAAAAATAAAAGAAAAAAATGGTACAACCACTGTAGAAAACATTATAACACTTCCTAAAAAATTTTAAACTAGAATTACCATATGATCCAGCAATTCTATTGCAGATATACTCCAAAGATCTGGAAGCAAGGTCTCCGTGAGCTATGTTTGCACCCGAGTCTGTAGAGTCATTATTCACAATAAATAAAAATTGGAAGCAAAGCAAGTGTACACCCACTGATAGACAAACAAAAGTGGCCCATACATACACCAGAATATGATTCAGCCTTAAAAAATAAGGAAATTCTGACACCTGCTATGTTGTGGGTGAACCTCCAGAATGTAAGGCTAAGTGAAATACACCAGTCACAAGAGGGCAAATGCTGTCAGACTCTGCTAATGTAATGGGTCTGGAGTGGTCAGTTCCACAGAGGCACAAAATGTATGATGAGGCCAGGGGCTAGGGAGGACGAAGGGGAACCAGTGTTTAATGGGGGAAGAGTTTGGAAAAATGGAAAGTCCTGGAGATGGGTGGTGGGTAAGACCACACAACAACCTGAAAGGACCTAATGCCACTTAAGCAGACACTTAAAAGTAGTTAATGTGGGAAGCTTGTATGTGTGCTTCATGACTTTTAACAAAAGAGATAAAGGAGACAATGCTAGTTAAGCCAGCAAGTGGGGAAGAGATTGGGAAGGAAGATGCTATCGTTAGTTTCTTCTTCCTCAAGATAGTCATTGAGTGCTCTTAAACCAAGTTTTCAAAACCTCAAATTCACACATCATTAAATTATAACCAAGTCCTTTTAATCAAAGAGCTAACACCTATCTTACTCAAACTCTTCCAGAAAATTGCAGAAGAAGGTAAACTTCCAAACTCATTCTATGAGGCCACCATCACCCTAATTCCAAAACCAGACAAAGATGCCACAAAAAAAGAAAACTACAGGCCAATATCACTGATAAACATAGATGCAAAAATCTTTAACAAAATTCTAGCAAACAGATTCCAAAAACATATTAAAAAAATCATACATCATGACCAAGTGGGCTTTATCCCAGGAATGCAAGGATTCTTTAATATCCGCAAATCAAACAATGTAATACACCACATTAACAAATTGAAAGATAAAAACCATATGATTATCTCAATAGATGCAGAAAAAGCCTTTGACAAAATTCAACATCGATTTATGATTAAAACTCTTCAGAAAGCAGGAATAGAAGGAACATACCTCAACATAATAAAAGCTATATATGACAAACCCACAGCAAGCATCACCCTCAATGGTGAAAAATTGAAAGCATTTCCCCTGAAATCAGGAACAAGACAAGGGTGCCCACTCTCACCACTACTATTCAACATAGTTTTGGAAGTTTTGGCCACAGCAATCAGAGCAGAAAAAGAAGTAAAAGGAATCCAGATAGGAAAAGAAGAAGTGAAACTCTCACTGTTTGCAGATGACATGATCCTCTACATAGAAAACCCTAAAGACTATACCAGAAAACTTCTAGAGCTAATCAACGAATACAATAAAGTTGCAGGATATAAAATTAACACACAGAAATCTCTTGCATTCCTATACACTAACAATGAGAAAACAGAAAGAGAAATTAAGGAAACAATACCATTCACCATTGCAACAAAAAGAATAAAATACTTAGGAGTATATCTACCTAAAGAAACAAAGGACCTATACATAGAAAACTATAAAACACTGATGAAAGAAATCAAAGAGGACACAAACAGATGGAGAAATATACCGTGTTCATGGATTGGAAGAATCAATATTGTCAAAATGGCTATACTACCCAAAGCAATCTATAGATTCAATGCAATCCCTATCAAAATACCAACGGTATTTTTGACAGAACTAGAACAAATAATTTCACAATTTGTATGGAAATACAAAAAACCTCGAATACCCAAAGTAATCTTGACAAAGAAGAATGGAACTGGAGGAATCAACCTGCCTGACTTCAGAATATACTACAAAGCCACAGTCATCAAGACAGTATGGTACCGGCACAAAGACAGAAATATAGATCAATGGAACAGAATACAAAGCCCAGAGATAAATCCACGAACCTATGGCCACCTTATCTTCGACAAAGGAGGCAAGGATATACAATGGAAAAAAGACAACCTCTTTAACAAGTGGTGCTGGGAAAACTGGTCAACCACCTGTAAAAGAATGAAACTAGAACACTTTCTAACACCATACTCAAAAATAAACTCAAAATGGATTAAAGATCTAAATGTAAGACCAGAAACTATAAAACTCCTAGAGGAGAACATAGGCAAAACACTCTCCGACATAAATCACAGCAGGATCCTCTATGACCCACATCCCAGAATTTTAGAAATAAAAGCAAAAATAAACAAATGGGACCTAATGAAACTTAAAAGCTTTTTCACAACAAAGGAAACTATAAGCAAGGTGAAAAGACAGCCCTCAGATTGGGGGAAAATAATAGCAAACGAAGCAACAGACAAAGGAGTAATCTCAAAAATATACAAGCAACTCCTCCAGCTCAACTCCAAAAAAATAAATGACCCAATCAAAAAATGGGCCAAATAACTAAACAGACATTTCTCCAAGGAAGACATACAGATGGCTAACAAACACATGAAAAGATGCTCAACATCACTCATTATCAGAGAAATGCAAATCAAAACCATAATGAGGTACCATTATATGCCAGTCAGGATGGCTGCTATCCAAAAGTCTACAAGCAATAAATGCTAGGGAGGGTGTGGAGAAAAGGGAACCCTCTTACACTGTTGGTGGGAATGCAAGTTAGTACAGCCACTATGGAAAACAGGGTGGAGATTTCTTAAAAAGCTGGAAATAGAACTGCCATATGACCCAGCAATCCCACTTCTGGGCATACACACCGAGGAAACCAGATCTGAGAGAGACACGTGCACCCCAATGTTCATTGCAGCACTGTTTATAATAGCCAGGACATGGAAGCAACCTAGATGCCCATCAGCAGACCAATGGATGAGGAAGCTGCGGTACATATACACCATGGAATATTACTCAGCCATTAAAAAGAGTTCATTTGAATCACTTCTAATGAGATGGATGAAACTGGAGCCCATTATACAGAGCGAAGTAAGCCAGAAAGAAAAAGACCATTACAGTATAATAACACATACATATGGAATTTAGAAAGATGGTAACGATAACCCTATATGCAAAACAGAAAAAGAGGCTCAGATGTATAGAACAGACTTGTGGACTCTGGGAGAAGGTGAGGGTGGGATGTTTCAAGAGAACAGCATCGAAACATGTATATTATCTAGGGTGAAACAGATCACCAGCCCAGGTTGGGTGCATGAGACAAGTGCTTGGGCCTGGTGCACTGGGAAGTCCCAGAGGAATCGGGTGGAGAGGGAGGTGGGAGGGGGGACCGGGATGGGGAATACATGTAAATCCATGGCAAATTCATTTCAATGTATGACAAAAACCACTGCAATGATGTAAAGTAATTAGCCTCCAACTAATAAAAATAAATGGAAAAAAAAAAAGTTACGGTTTTTCCTGTAGTCACATATGGATGTGAGAGTTGGACCGTAAAGAAAACTGAACACTAAAGAATTGATGCTTTTTAAATTGGATGTCAGAGAAGACTCTTGAGAGTCCCTTTGACTGCAAGGAGATCCAACCCGTCTATCCTAAAGGAAATCAGTCCCAAACATTCATTGCAAGGACTTACGTTGAAGCTGAAACTCCAATACTTTGGCCACCTGATGTGAAGAACTGACACGTTGGAAAACACCCTGATGCTGGGAAAGATTGAAGGCGTGAGGAGAAGGGGATGGCAGAGGATGAGATGATTGGATGGCATCACCGACTCAATGGACATGAGTTTAAGTAAACTCTGGGAGTTGGTGATGGGCAGGGAAGCCTGGTGTGTTGTGGTCCATGGGAGGACAACTCAGCCACAGTTGTGAAACCTGATGATGCCTGACCCACGACCAGAGGGTCCCACCACTGCACCCCATCTCAGAGCGGGCCCTGTGCATGAACACATGTAGGCATGGAGACTGCTGTTTACCACCACTTCATCTCAGCAACAGCTGCTAGGCTAGCCGTGGACAGGGAGGGACGCCATGAATGCAATCTGTCCACCCAGTGGAAGATGGCAGTGTTCATGAGATGAGTAGGGGACACCTCTGCACACAGGCAAGTATGGAAAATGCCGTAAGTCCCCTACATATGAACAAGTTACACTCTGAGACTATGTCCATAAGTTGTTTGTTTGTAGGTCCAACAAAGCTGGCCGACACAGTTGGCTACATAATGCTGTGTTGTAATAGGTTTATAATTCTTTTCACACAAACAATACATTAAAAAACAAAAAAGTAGAGAAAATACCTTTATTCTCACAGGACAGTACCATGAAGAGTACAGTAGTCCGGCACAACAGCTGGCACACAGGGGCTGGCATCCATGAACAGGCAAGATTGACTGACTGGAGGAGGGAGGGGAGTAGTGGGAGAAGGTGGATCTGAAGGATGGTGAGCAATGGGAGATGGAGGACGAGCTGCAGGGTCACTCACACCTGACACTGATGGAACACAGATGTGCATCTTTGAAAGCTTGCAACTTGAAGGTTCGTATGTAGGGGACTTACTGTACCATGTTACATGAAAACATCAAGCAGCAGAATGGTAGATGCTGCAATACCACGATGATGGAAATAATTTCCCCAAGTGGTAAACCTTCATTTTAAACAGATGTATAGTATTCTGTTATGTGGACACATCATATGCCTTTGGTCCACTCCCTACTGATGGATATTCACACTGATTCCTTCTGTTTTTGTTGTTGCTAAAAACGCTGTCACAGAAACCCTCTAACATGTACCTTCACACACAGGTAAGGCTGTGCTGGTTAAGCTCATTAATGGCATTGCAACTGTTGTGTTAAAAAGGCTGTATAGCTAGTTTTCACTAAATAAGCTCGTGGTTTCAAACACAAAACCCCCAAAGCTCAGTGCTTTAATACAACAGGAGTTCATCCCTTGTGGCTGTTACATCCTGGGGAACTGGTCAGCTGTAGCCATGCTGGTCCTCCTCCAGGGCCCAGGCTGAGAGGGCAGCCTTCATCTGAAAGGCACACACTCATGACCACGAGAAACCAGAAGGGCACTACAGAAAAAGGCCCAGGACCATAGTTCACATGCACTCTGGTGTCCTCGACGATGGAGCTGGAAAACCTCTCCAGAGAAGGGGCCATGAATCACATGTGATGGGAGGGTGGCCCAGGGAGGGCAGACACTGGGACCAGGGCATTACCACACTAAGTGGAGACTGGGGTGCCAATGCATATGGTCTCATCAGCCTAGGACTAAAGGTGGATGGAGGTCTATGCTATAACTTTAAAAAGGTACATGTGGGATTTTTTGTTTGTTTGTTTTTGTTTGCTTTTACCATCTTTACAGGCACGTATTTCTCTTGGTGTTGCTTTGATCTAACTTCTTCAAATCTTGAATGGGTTGATGCTAGGCAACTGCCTGTGCAATTCACGTGTGTGGACTGCAAACTGCCTGTCTCGTGCATGGTCCACTTCAATCACACTGTTGCTTGGGTTCACATTATTTATTAATTAGCTCTATTTTATAGGAATATTCACAGCAGCTCTATTTGTTATAGACAGACACTATAAACAAAACAGACGTCTACCAACAGGTGAATGAACTGGTACGACGTTACCGAGCAGTGACACGCAGATGCAAACAAAGGAACTCGATCTTCCCTGAGTGGCTGCAGATTCTTCTCCTGTGTCCTTTCTGATTTGTGCCTCAAAAGGTGCCCTCAGTACCAACAGCAGCAACTGTCATGATGAATTCCACTTTCAAGAAACGTAACTGCTCCGATCAAGTTTCCACTACCATACACACACACACACACAACATAATTTCTACTACCAAGTTTTCACTACTCCCCAGACACACACACAACAAACACACAGACACACACACACAGACACACACACACACACACACACACACACACACACACACACAAATCTTCGGGCCGGGGATCTGAGTCATCCCAGAGCCTGTTCTGAATCTGGGAGTCGGTGTCATGAATAAAACATTTGCTGAGTGGATTAGCAGCTCATGAAGGATGACTTCCTAAGCATATACTTGGCTTAATGTATCAAGGCAGCAAATTTAAAGTCAGCTAATGAAGGATCCCCTTAGACCACCCTCTGGGTCCTGTGTTTTATTCAGGTCATGGTTTCTTTCCTGATACTCAGCAACTCCTCTGCCCCCAACCCTTTTCTCTAAGCACTGAGGGTAGCTATCCTTACTTACAGGATCTGAATTGTATTCTCTTTTTTCTGAGAGCCACAACACAACCATGTCTTCTTTCCTGTCACTTTAATATAGAATATTTTTAGAATGGGCTTCCCGTGTAGCACAGTCATAAAGAATCTGCCTGACAATGGAGGAGATGCAAGAGACCTGGGTTTAACCCCTGGATTGGAAAATCCCCTAGAGAAGGAAATGGCAACCCACTCCAGTATTCTTGCCTGGAGAATCTCATGGACAAGGGAACCTGCTACAGTCAAAAGTTGGACATGACCAAGTACATGTCAGGTCACATTCTTTAGAATAGTCAAACAGAAACAATACAAATAAAAACTACATCTAAACTGAAAGTTGCTCAGTCACGTCCAGCTCTTTGAGGCCCTTTGAAACTACAGAGTCCATGAAATTCTCCAGGCCAGAACACTGGAGTGGGTAGCTTTTCTTTCTCCAGGGGATCTTTCCAACCCAGGGATTGAACCCAGGTCTCCAGCATTGCAGGCGGGTTCTTTACCAACTGAGCCGCAGGGGAAGCCCAAGAGTATTGGAGTGTGTAGCCTATCCCTTCTCCAGCAGATCTTCCTAACCCAGGAATCAAACCTGGGTCTTCTGTATTGTGGGTGGACACCAAATTTAAAAAGCAGCCTGTGCGTATAATTTTAATGGATTGATTATAGCCTAATCCTATCCAACAACCCAGACCTCCTCTGGGAGACCCTGCCCCCTGGATCCTTGGGTGTCCTGGTCGAAGTGCTGGGTCCTCCTCTTCTCATGCCATCATGCACCCTCCTCTGGCTCAGGTGGCCTCAACCCACTGCTCTGTGTGAATTTTAAGATCACTCATTGTTTAGAGATTTCTATGATGAAATCTCTAAAATTTCCCCTTAAAATTGTCAGATAATTTAGGAAAACACGTAACTCAAAACAAACTCACAAGAAATGGAGAAAGAGCAGGAGATTCCCAATTCAGAGTAAGATATTTGGGCTTTGTGATCCTTTGTCCAGACCTGGGTTAGTGTTGCCAAGGATTTCTGTAAGAAGAGAAGAAACACCCTAAACCGAGGAGGCCCACATACATGACTTTATGGAGCTTGCAACACCTTAAGTGGAGCCCTCTACACTCATTTTAAACAACTAAGGACACTTTTACTAAAGAGCCTTCAGAGGTCTTCACCACTGAAACTTTAAGTTGGTTTTCCTTACTTTTCTTCCTCTTCTTCCAAACGATCTCACTTGTATCCAGCCAAGAGCTACCTGATTAAATGCATTGTTTTGAAGAAGACATACAGATGGCTAACAAACACATGAAAAGATGCTCAACATCATTCATTATCAGAGAAACACAAATCAAAACCACAATGAGGTACCATTACACGCCAGTCAGGATGGCTGCTATCCAAAAGTCTACAAGCAATAAATGCTGGAGAGGGTGTGGAGAAAAGGGAACCCTCTTACACTGTTGGTGGTAATGCAAACTAGTACAGCCGCTATGGAGAACAGGGTGGAGATTTCTTTAAAAACTGGAGATAGAACTGCCATATGACTCAGCAATCCCACTCTGGGCATACATACCGAGGAAACCAGATCTGAAAGAGACACGTGCACCCCCATTGTTCATCACAGCACTGTTTATAATAGCCAGGACATGGAAGCAACCTAGATGCCCATCAGCAGACCAATGGATAAGGAAGCTGTGGTACATATACACCATGGAATATTACTCAGCCATTAAATAGAATTCATTTGAATCAGTTCTAATGAGATGGATGAAACTGGAGCCCATTATACAGAGTGAAGTAAGCCAGAAAGATAAACACCAATACAGTATACTAATGCATATATATGGAATTTAGAAAGATGGTAATGATAACCCTATATGCAAAACAGAAAAAGAGACACAGATGTACAGAACAGACTTTTGGACTCTGTGGGAGATGGCGAGGGTGGGATGTTTCGAGAGAACAGCATCGAAACATGTATATTATCAAGGGTGAAACACATCACCAGCCCAGGTTGAATTCATGAGACAAGTGCTTGGGCCTGGTGCACTGGGAAGACTCAGAGGGATGGGGTGGAAAGGGAGGTGGAATGGGGGGATCGAGATGGGGAATACATGTAAATCCATGGCTGATTCATGTCAATGTATGACAAAAACCACTGCAATGATGTAAAGTAATTAGCCTCCAACTAATAAAAATAAATGGAAAAAAAAAAAGAAAAAAAATGAACAATAGGAAGCTTTCTTGTGTTCCTCACTGCTGTCTGCAAGCCTTCCCTTCCGCCTGTTTCTGCACGGACTACTGTGGCCCAAATCTCTCTAGATGGTCAGAATCTGACACCACTCTGTTTAACTGCTATCATTCGAACAGCTCCTATTTTCAGTTTCTTCTAACTTTGCATGTAATTCAACCTGACAAACATATATTGAGACTCTACCATGTTCAGGGAGCAGGGCCAGGTTCTGGGGGTACGGCCAGAAGAAGACAGAAGTATTTGACACCAGGGAGCTCAGAGGCTAGTGGAGGAAGGCAGCCAGGTACTGAAACAGTCCCCGGAAGAAGGTGAACAATTCCAAGGTCTGCACATGGACCCAGGAGTCAGGATGTGGTCCCCAGTCCTGTCTGGGTCAGCTCAGCCACCAGCTACTTGTGGTTCCAACCAAGGGGTGTTTCTCACCTGAGTCCCAACTGTGGAATATAGGGTGGCGAAAGTCTATTCTTAATAAGAGGAACAGCAAAAATGATGACACCACCACTCTGGGTGCCTGCCAGGTGCAGGGCTGGGTGCTGCATAGATGCTGCCTCACCCCACTGGCTCCGGGAGTCCAAGGAAGCCTGTCTGCACAAACGTTAAGATGCTGTGATTGATTGCAGCCTCCCCATGAGATACAAACATGGACCCTGGAGAAGGGAGTTGCTCCACACCTCTGCCCAGAAGGAGGCGTTGTTCTCAGCCTGACATGAAAGGTGGGGAAGGGCAGGAAGGGTACGATGGAGAAGCAGGACGACCTGTCTGCTCCCTCTTAGCATCCCTTCCCTGTCATCATTCTCGGCTAGTCCTAGGACACAGGACATGTTCCACTGTAAATGCCTCTGTCAATTAGGTCATTCATTAAACACTTGATTCTCCATGTGTTCACCTATGGACACACTCAGGCACACATTCCTAGACTCAAGTGAGCAGCAGCTTGTGAACACACACATGCAGTCACAAAAGTATTTATTAATATTTTGAGTCTCTTTGCTCCTCCCTGAGATTTCTTACCTCCTTGGTATGTTAAGTGTGTCTCAGTTGTTGCCCCTTTGCTCAAAC